ATAGATAGATAGATAGATAGATAGATAGATAGATAGATAGATAGATAGATAGCTAGATAGCTAGATAGATAGGCAGATGGATAGATATACATTCTTCTATCTCTTGCAGAAATGGGCAGCAGATAAATGGGTGGATGGTGGATGTCCGAAGGAGAAGCTCATCATCGGACTGGCAGCGTATGGTCGCAGCTTCACGCTCCAGAACCCGTCTATGCACGTTATAGGCGACCCGGCAAAGTCCGGCGGTACTGCAGGAAAATACACCGGAGAGTACGGCTATATGGCTTACTACGAGGTGCGTCAGCAATTGCGCGCGATAGATCAATATTTTCCACCCTCTAGTAGTATAAACAAAAAAATAACAATATAAGAACATAAACACATCATGATGGTGCGCCTGCTGTGACGCTTACATAGGAGGGCAGTTATTAGTAAAGATACGTCGCTCGATACGGCAAACGCGGTAAGCAAACCAAGAGTAAATGAAAACAGCTAGATGAGAGTGTAATTATATCAGGAGCAAATAATAATAGATTCATTAATAATAATAATATTATTATTATATCTATTTCTATTTCTATTTCTATTATTATTATTCATTCTATTATTATTCACCCTTGATTATATCTACTCTTGACGTAGGGCTCTCTATCTAGCGGGCTTTATTCGTTTCACCTCGGACGAACGCACGACGTTCACATTTGCACCACTGTCGTTAGCACGCGTGTCTGTCCCACGGAAAATGTGTCACCGCATTTTTGTCATCAGGTCGCTTAGCCTGCGTGCCTCCGCCCGCACATCTAGCTAACCACTACCTCTCACTCGTCACCACCCACACAATAGCAAACGTGCCGCTTCTCCCTGTCTCTGTTGTCTCCTCTCTCTATCTATCTCCCCATCTCTCTCTCTCTCTCTCTCTCTCTCTCTCTCTCTCTCTCTCTCTCTCTCTCTCTCTTATATATATATATAATATATAATAATTAAATAGATAAATAAATAAATAAATTTATTTATTTATTAATTTAATTATTATTATATATATATGTATATAGTTAGATAGATATATGCGTGTACTTTTGGTAACTCGCAGCCAGCAACCTTGCATTACTGCTACAGGTGTGCATCATGTTGAACTCGGGAGGCACACGAGTGTGGAATGACGAGCACAAGGTTCCTTACGCCTACAAGGGCGACCAGTGGGTCGGCTACGATGACGAAGAATCAATCGCCAATAAGGTACGTGCTCCTTCCCACACATGCAGGTGTATTAATATTAGTAATAATAATAATAGTAATAATAATAATAATAATAATAATAATAATAATAACGCGGGTAAGAGATTTCCCTATGCGTCGTCGTACGCGAGCTGATATTTACAGACTAGCAGCTGTTTATTCATTAAGTTTGTAGCGTAGATAGCAGCCGAGTGCAGGGCGTTATTACAGCGCTCATAATTAAATTGTGCTTAACGTATAAAAGAATATATTAATATTTCGAAAGATTGCTCTAGGAAAAGCGTAATAGCGCTTATAGGTATAGCTGACAAAAGTGTGTCACAGAAATTTAAATGACCGTGCAAGGAACGCATAGGATTTACCGCCCATTTTCTTATGCGAATATGCCGCCACTTCCTTAATTTAGGTTGCATGGATTAAAAGTCAGGGTTTTGGAGGAGCCATGACATGGTCACTTGATCTGGATGACTTCCGCGGAGCGTTCTGCAATAAAGGTATAACCAGTGTCTGTTACTCACCCTGTGTGCTGATAATTGAGAAATTAACCAAATATTTGCGAGTGTCAATAAAATCACATGCGATATGGATTAACGTGTGCATTGCTGACCATTTAAACATAACGTGTTTATCCTTCATCTATCAATTAAGGAAAGTATCCGCTGCTTAACACAATGAAAAATGGACTACCATCCTCGTATGAACTCGATGGGTGGGTGCCGCCGTCAACAGTAACCACCTCAACTAGTGCCGGCTCTGTGTCGACAACGCCATCTGGTGAAGGTGGGTGCACATTTTGCTTGACCTTAGCAGAGGATACAGACCAAGTATACATACACATACACACACACACACACACACACACACACACACACACACACACACACACACACACACACACACACACACACACACACACACACACACACACACACACACACATGCACACACACACATCGTTCAGTCCCTCATATCTGTGAAAGTGATAAATTACCTCGCGTAAACCCGCATCGCCCCGGTGTATTTTTTCCGCTTATTGTTCTGTGACTTGCCGCGTGTCTTTGGCCAACAGGTGGCAGTGTTGAGAATTTCTGCCACGGCAAACGCAACGGTTACTATGCCGACGATGCGGACTGCACCATGTTCTACCAGTGCTTCAGCGACGTGACGCATCACCTCTCGTGCACCCCGGGTCTCCGCTGGAGTAGGATGTACACTTACTGCGACTGGGCGGATAACGTTGAATGCGTCGAATCGCAAGGCGACAACATTGACACGCTGTGAGGAGGGAGGGAGTGATGCTTGGCTGGCTTTGCTATTACTAACAACGGGATTACGTAGAGTCGCTATTCTCGCAAGATCCATAGCCACTCGAGTTCTCGATTCTTGGACGCCTATATGTAGACGCAGTAATATCGCGCAACTTTTTCGAGTTTAAGTTAGATAAGTCTAGTTCGTGCGCCTTAATAGATAATATGTTTTGCTAACTTTGTGTGCCATTCTGTCTCCTCAAATACAATAAAGATAATGGTCGGGATCGCTGCAGACATTTTGGTAAACTCTAGGTAACGTAACTTTTCCGCAATAATCTCGGAATATATATGCATGGCATGAGATTAGAAAACCTTTATCATTACACTATAATTGAAATTGTATTTTTTAAACATAAAATGGCGGAACAATAGTCGTAAATTTTTGTCCGATGATAGCAAGACTGATGATAGGGATGAAAATATATTGTAGCATCGTCTCTGCAAGAGCCACCAAATTATTGAGTTATTAACGTTTATTTGGCGATCAACGACCGTGATCCAATACCAACGACCGTCTGACCGATCCAATAATCATTGAAATTCGTTTTTAAGTCGCGGTAGTGATAATTTAGATTATGAATTCTCCAGTGAAAATCGCGTCGTTGTAAACTTTTATTAATCGTAAATTGCACACTATTCTGCATCACAGCATGATTAAAATTTAATACCTCAACAATTTCCAATGTTTGAGTAAATGCTTACGGTATAAAAAATCATGTAGTGCTTTTCGGGGAAAAACAGCTATCTTAATTTTTATTCACTTAATAAACTTATATTGCGCTTATGCTCATACTATCTGATTTCTGGCTTCGGTATCTCTAAAGGGCTGGAGCTGTCCAGCGTTGTTGTACTTGGTAAATTACTCGACGTCGAACGCTCGAAAAAAGAACGCTCAAAACGCCTGACCCTTAACTAGGAGCTCTTTCAATCCAGAAGAGCAAATAAGAAGAATTGCATGCATCTACGCATGCATTCACGCACGTAGGCACGCAAACGCACGACAAAACACGCTTTACTCCACGCCCGTAGGTCGGATAACGACGTTGCCCATACCATAATTTTCCAGCTTAAAATACTCTATGAATATTTTAGCGGTAATAACGAAAATGATGAGTTTCTGCTTATAGTACAGTGAGATTGTATTACTAAATATGATGGAAATTGCGATGACAAAATGTGGAATTTGCAACAGATTGGCGTCATATCGACAAAACGCGACACAATACTCACGATTTCTTACAGTTCGTTAATTCACAATCGCGTCGATAAAGATCGTACGCAGATATAATCACCTTAGCTGCGCGGCGAATGATCTTATAATTACAACATGGTCACACAATTACGATACTAAAAATAACGAAAGGGAAATTATGAATCTCTGGTCAGCTGCTGTGCTATGAATCACTGCATGACTTCGCCATTGACCGATCATCATTAGAAATGCGACTCCTTACCATGTAACGTCGGCCATCTTACTTGCAATCTAGTGCATTACTAAATGTCTGCAATAAACAAAGCAATGCTTGTTGTTTGCGTTAAAACAAGGAATTTTTTTAAAAATTACACTCGATTTCAGTTTAGAATGCAGTTGGACACTGCATCAGACACAGAGATGAAATTGTGAATAAGCTTATCCTCTGGCAACCAACTGAAGGCAAAACCAATAGAGGCAGGAGAAAAATTACCTATGTGGATAACTTGATGGAAGACACTGGAATGCAAGTGGTACAGGAGTTGAGGACCATTATGGAAGATCGAGACGAATGGAGAAAGCGTCTTGAAGCTATGGGGCGTCCGGAAGGACGACCTAGTTGCGTAGTTGAGTTGAGTTCAGTTTAGCTGTCGTGGTTTTACGTTTCAGTAAAATAGTAGTATATTTCCGCTCTTTGCATATTATATTTTCGTAGCTGTTCCTCCACATCTTGTCGTACTGGAAAATGCACCTCTTGACATAATCTCTAGCATAATCAATTGTTGCTTCAATACAGCAATATGATATATGTCATCACGTTAGTAAAAATATGACACCAATGTGAAATAAATGGTTTACCTACCCAATCACCAAATTAATACACGTGCACGCACGCACGCATATATGAACAATCAAGTATGTATATACACAGAGAAAGAGAGAGAGGAAGATGGAAAAGGAGAAAGAGGAAGATAAAGAAAGATAACGAAAGAGATAGAGAATATAAAACACGCGAAAACGAGAGTGGGAGAGAAAGAGAGAGATAGAGTGAAAGATAAAGAGCGAGAGAGCGCGAGAGCGCGCGCGATGGAGAGCAAATTTTCAGTATATTATGCATTTTCATATACATAGGAGACAGACACAATAGGTCAATACGGCATTACGATATTATTGCATATCTCAATCTGCCCGCGTTTACTTCCTTCTAGGCGCCTTGATGTGTATTAGCGGCGTCAGTACCATTAATTGCGTAGATAGGATATATGTATTTATGTATATATATATATATATATATATATATATATAGATATATATATATATACATCAGTACCTCTCTACGAACGTACGAGCGAGAGAGCGCCCGCTGATGATTCATCATGACATATCGTCGCGACTCTCGCCCCCGTCTGCGCTCTCTCAGGCGCCATCCTCACCATCTTCACCATCTCACATCGCTCATCGGCGCGTCTGCTTTCGTCACTGGCAATGAGTTGCTATTCGACGGCGTGCGCAGCGTCAGCGGCTCGTCTCTGTGGCTCGGTATCGACAGCCGCGCCGCCTCCGCGCTACCTGACGGCGAATAGCGAGCGCGCACCAGCGCCCCGCAGCGAAGGATTCTCTTGAATGCGTATCGATAGTCCTTGGAGAACATCGCGTAGATCGCTGGGTTGAGCGCGCTGTTGCAGTAGCCGAGCCAGAAGCAGACGGAGAAGACGACGGGGGGCGTGCAGTGCTCGCAGAACGCTCCGATGAAGTAGATCGTGAAGAACGGAAGCCAGCAGAGGATGAAGACGCCGACGATGACCGCCAGCGTTTTTGCCGCTTTCATCTCGCGCGTAAACTTTCGAAACTCCTTGCGTATCCGGATGAGGCGTTGCGCGCGATTGTCGTGCCGCGCTCCGTGCAGTATGTCGCCGACGTCGTCGGCGTCGAGGCTATCTCCGCTCGTCGCCGCCAGGAGGCGCCTGCCGTTCGATCCCTGTGGCGGCGACGACCCGCCGTGTCGTCGCACTCGGTCGTTTCCGTTCGCCTGCACGGAGACAGCCGACGACCGGCGACTCTCGGGCGACGGTGGCGCCATGAAGGCATCGCCGAGTGTCGTCGCCGACGGCGATTTCGTCGCCTTGCAGTGCGGGTCGTCGGCGGGAAGAACGAGCGAGTCGGCGGCGTCCTGCGAGCTCTGTCGTCGGTAGGGGCTCGTGTTGCCTCCGCCGCGGTGAATACGCAGCACGGTGTTGGTGGCGCCACCACCGGCGACTTCCTTAAAGCCACGCTTCATCGCCTTCGAGCTGCGCGTCGCGGCGACGTAGATGCGCCAGTAGAAGAAGCACATGACGCTGCAGGGAATGTAGAAGGAGCCGAGCGCCGAGTAGATGCGATAGCCGCGATCCTTGATCAGCTCGCACTGCTGGCCGACGACACACGGTCGCTCGACGGCGATCAACGTCGGCGCGGCGCTCGTTGGCAGCGTCCAGTTAGCGTCCAGTTCGCTCGGCGTGAGGTTGCGCGAGCCGCCGTCGGCGGCGCCACCGTCGGCGGCCATCTTGTCGATAAACGGCTGCCGGTCTTCGTTCCAGCCGAGCAGCGGCGGGATGCAGATAAGGAAGGCGCTGATCCACACAGCGACGATGAGCAGCTTACCGCGCGACGACGACATGTACGTCGGGTAGCCGATCGGCTTCGTGATGGCGAGGTAGCGATCGAGACTGATCGCGCACAGATTGATGATCGACGCCGTGCAGAGCAGCACGTCGATGGCGAGCCACAGTCGACACCAGACGTTGCCGAACACCCACACCTCGAGCACCTCGAGCGTGAGCGAGTACGGCAGCACGGCAACGCCCATCAGCAGGTCGGCGACGGCCAGCGACACGATGAAGCGGTTCGTCACCGTGTGCAGCTTCTTCGTGACGATGACGGCGGCGATGACGAGCGCGTTGCCGGCGACGATGATGCCGTCGATGGCGATCAGCGCCGCCAGCGACAGCGCCGCGCGCGTAGAGCCGGCGACGCTGGCGACCGTCTCGCAGGCGGGCACCGCCGTCGCGTTGGCGACAGCTGCGAAGCTACTCTGATTCATCTCGGCAGCATCGCGGTGCGTCGACTGTGCTGCGACGTGAAGTTCGCAGGCTCACAGAAACAACGCGATCGGGTTAGCGTGGAGAAGGGTTGCTCCGTGAGTGTAGATGCGCGCGCGTGCTTGCACATGTCCCCTCCCCCGCAGCAGCTGCCGTTAACCTCACACGCAACAATTATCGCAACACTCTCGCCACATGCATGTTGAACGAAGCAGGCCGAGTTATCGGATCGGTCATAGAACCTTTGCGGCCACTATCCATCACGGTATTCATGTTATATCATTATACATAAATGCCGGTAGTCACGTGGAGCAATTTCCTGTCGGGACGCACGGAAGAGCCTCGCTTGCCGTAGCGCAGTGTGACGAGCCATGTATGTATGTGCCGTCACATTTCGACAGGCTCGCGTATTGAAGGCGCACGTAGAGCGTCTGCGCTCGAGATGTGCGACGACTCCGCACAAAATCACAGACGTGCGTGTCCCTGTTATAAGCGGATATATTCGCGGGAGGTAACGTCTCCCGCTTCGCTGTTTCCCGCGCTTACTGATCGCTGTGTTGGCGGCAGTGGCGACGGGATTTTTCACCTGCGCAGGGCTTCACTGAAGGTCACGCATGTCACGGTTTTCCCTGATGTGCTGTGTGTTGGAGGCCGCTAGCCTCTATCCTGCAACAAACAGCCAGCCTACATTCAGCAGTTTCATGTGCGAATACAAATAATAGTTTTCCAACGTTGTCGTTGCACCGATAAGACGTTGTTTAACATCGTTATATAAACAGAGATGTCGGCGAAGCATTCGAAGTGGTTTATAACGCTATACATAAAATAGCGCTCCCGCCATGTATATATAACTGCTATATATAGAACTGCTATACATATATATCAGGAGTAGATAATAGGGAATTCCCTATTATCTACTCCTGATATATATTACATAGAAAGGTCCGTTATAAGTCAACTATACTGACACGCCTGTTATGCTCCATTTAGAGAAAAAAATGCATTGAATCAAACTATTCAGTGAAAATTACTCAGAACCGCGGAGATAAAATATCGGACGTGTATCGGTCATGGTTTATGTCACGTGGATTACCACAGGCCAATTACACGAATCCATGTGGCATGACTACATAAACGGTTATGAGCGCATTCGCCAAATGTGGATGAATAGGGTATACCGACTAGATGACAACCAGACATATGCCTATTCATCAGGCAAGGAGACCTTAATATATATCATAAAGTGTTATATTCCGTGTTCAACATTGCTGCTTGTACATCGTGACAAATTCTAATCAGCCTATAATTAAGCAAAGTACTCACGCACCATATGGAGCACCTATACAAAGATGCGTCCCATGGACGAACGCAAGGCACTCATGCACATTTATTGTTACACGTACATACGGCGGCACGCATGCATATCCACGCACGCACGCGCACACGCACGCACACTTGCGTATCCATGCGCGCACATGCACGCAACGAACGTGCACGAGCGACTCATTTCGCTAATTACCTCCGTAGACACACCTGGAAATTTACCAGGTGAAGTCAACACCTATGTATGGATACGCACGTATGAATGCACACGTTCAATAATTCACGAGGCAATTCTGTGTAATAATCCGCGTAGATGACACGTCGACACGTTGTGCTGCGACACATACATTCGACCCGGCAGAGCAATATCAATAGTGATTTGTCCTATAACCGTTCGAACTTGTCTGCACGCCAAATGACCGTCCGAAACAGACTTATTCAGGCATAGTTTAACGTCAATACATGCTATCGAAGTGGTTGTGAGAAAATATTGATTTAAATGTTTAATTTTATTCGTTAGTATTATAGTTATGTCATTTGATTCTGATTCGGTTATCAGTTTATCATTTAGTTATTACCTTATTATTACAACCTAATTATTCAGGCACCCGGGCCATCTAGTGAATGCGAATTTTTCTTGTTGAAACACGCGTAAACGACTGTTATCTAAGAATTATATCAGGAGTGAATAATAATAGATTTTATTATTCATATATCTATATCTAATCATAATATCTATTATTATTCACTCCTGATTACATGAGCTCGGTTTTACTCTACAACCTTCTTCGGAAACGCGTTTTAGTTTATGCTTTTGCTTCCGTCGAGAAAAACCTCGAGGTCGTTTCACAGTCGGAGCAGACATTGTCTGAAGACGTTCGGAAACGCATTGGTTCCTGTGATCGTCTGCAAATGAACCGGGAGCCGCTATGGCGCTCACGAAAGAAATTCGACATGACAACTTGGCTGTTTATTACTTTTGATGACTCTGTTATCGACGCGCGACCGATGATTATGGCCGCTTTGACGCGGCGGCGTGGTCGCTAATCTCCCGAGAGCGCGCTCACGTCCGCCTCCGACACGCATTTACCACACTACCGGAAAGCCAAAGCGATATCGCGGCGTTTAGATTAGAGAGGCGCCGCCGAGAATTCCCAGCCGACAGTCGGACCAGCGTCTACAACGTCAATATAATTAGTGCGTTGGTATAAATGATAATATACTATACGTGCGGGGTAACGAACTCGGTTGTACCTGTGGTGTCCGCTGCTCTGGTGCAATGTGAGAGAAACACGGGGTGTAACTATAAGCCGAGAATGATAGATATTTAGAATATAGTAGATTTATATTAGATGTTAGGCTTACACGTCACTTATAACATTCATTATATGATCTCATGCAGGGATTTTCTATGTATTCACTATTTGCCTTGTATAGGGGTAACCGACCCAACACTTTTGAAGAGACAATCTCACTCTCAAGTTATGCAATTTCTTCCGTCCATCCATGTACTGAGTGTACTTAAATCAGAGGTGCCTATGTATTAGTACAGTTCTGGTATGCACGGAATTTCTCAAACTGAATATCAGCGAACATCATTTCGTACGCAAACAATTGAGCACCTGAGCATTACCAATCGAACATGAAAAGATTTTAACAGTAGCTCTAATATTATAATTAAAAGCTGCACGGTGCCAAAAAAAGTTATGGCAGACATCTGAGGTAGCTGGCATCTGACAACCTCTTAGAGACATATCTCGTGCTTACATTTCGTGAGGATTTCCTTAATCCTTTGTAAGAATGCGTAAGTTAGAAGACAAAGGATCAGTCTCCTCTCTTGCTCCTCCTCGTGGCTCGAGATGCAGCTGTCGTAATCAACGAAGCGCGGCAGAGGATTCGTAATTATATTTCCGGCTTGTCTGTCGCGCAAGACGCCCAGAGGGCAATGATGATGACGCAGGGCGTAGGTCAGTTGCATGTGGGACCATTCCCTGCAGCTTCTGATAGCTCATCCGCCCGTCCGTGTGTCCGTCCGTTTATTCATTCATCCACCTACCCAATCCATCCATCCATCCATCCATTCTTCCATTCATCTATCCATCCATCCATCCATCCGTCAGTTCGTCCGTCCGTCCGTTCGTCCGTCCGTCCGTCCGTCCGCCCGTCCGTCCGTCCGTCCGTCCGTCCGTCCGTCCGTCCGTCCGTCCGTCCGTCCGTCCATACATTCCCATCCTCCATGCGCATCCAATCATCCATCCTCCATCGCATCCATCCATCCATCCAACTCCATCCACATCCATCCATCCATCACACTCCATCATGCATCCACTCCATCCATCACCATCTCATCCATGCATCATCCCTACATCAACATCTACAATCCATCTCTATCCATCATCTCGCATCATCATTCCATCCATGGGCCATACACAATCCATCCATCACCAATCCATCCACATCCATCCTACCATCACACCATCACAATCCATTCCATCCACACCCTACATAACATACATTCAATCCTATCTAATCCATTCATCCGGCCAGCCAGCCAGCCAACCAACCATACATCCTTCCTTCCATTCATCCATACAGTGGCATCTTCAAAGAACTATAGGAGGCAATGCGCTCCAGAACATTATCATAATTACATGCTTTCATTGTATGTACTTTGTTCAGTCTCAAACGATGAACCACGTATATCAATTACGCATGCTCGTATGCATATTTACGATCACGAAAAAACTGTCCACTACTTGCTCTCTCTCTCTCTCTCTCTCTCTCTCTCTCTCTCTCTCTCTCTCTCTCTCTCATTCTCTCTCTCTCTTATCTCTCTCTTTTTCTCTCTCTCTCTCTCACACACACACACACAAACCAATTTCAGCTAATGTCATCTGATAGAATTATAACCACATTTACATATATAGGCTACATGCTTGCATTGACGTGCTTCCTGCTCCGCATATGTTCATATATCATTGTTGAAGCCTAATAAATCCCATTATATTTCTCGTGACAAGCAATATTTTCGTTAGTGACAAACCAATTTCAGCTAATGTCATCTGATAGAATTATAACCACATTTACATATATAGGCTACATGCTTGCATTGACGTGCTTCCTGCTCCGCATATGTTCATATATCATTGTTGAAGCCTAATAAATCCCATTATATTCTCGTGACAAGCAATATTTTCGTTAGTGATAGCAAAATCTAGATGTTATACATCTCGAGGGCGATTCGATCATGAAACGAGCTAGACCGATCAGCTAAATAGTATTTGTTCCAGCAATATTCCAGCATATACGCGTTGTGCGTTTTAGTTTACCACATATAATGTTGTTAAGTGTCGAATGGATGGGCGCCGTTCAATATATATATATTGGTCTTGGTTTAATGTAGCGAGCTCATTACACGTTGTATTGTTTAGTGTAGCAAAAAGCGTTTGGTCAGCGTATATATTATATTGCATATTACACTGTGACGAGCGTGATGACGACGAACGTGCATCATATGGTTAGAAGTAGAGGTAATGCGCCGTGGATTCGCGTTCGTTGATCGACCATGTAACCAGACTTATCAAAATCATTTGAGAAGCAGCAACTATCTCGGGTTTGCGCATTTGCGTATTATGATTATGATGTTCTCCGCTAGATAAGATTATGTTGTATCTCGAGT